CACCGCTTCTTGGAAAGTCGCCGGCTCCGATAAGTCCACCGCAGCTTCGACTGCGTTGGCACTTGCACGCCAAAGCACGGGGGGAGTCGATTCTTCATCTTGATCTCCAGCCTTTTCTTCTTCGTTTACGTCTGCTCGACGTGAAGACGAATTGGTCGGCGCACTTGCTTCCTCCAGTCCGGGTCGATGACGCGTAGCTCGCTGTCTTGTGGCAGATTCATCTTCGTCACTCGGGCGGCTCTTGCGCTTCCCCGCCTGCCTGTGCTCCGTCTGACGCGAACCGCCATTGTCGATGTCGAGAGATTCGAAGTCCAGGTCGTCGACGTCTTCATCGGAAATTGGCTCTGAAAGTCCAAAGGTCGATTCACCGAAGTTGACATCGCGACTGATAACCACCTGCCCCGCCTCGATGTCATAAAGTCGATACGCCTTGGATACTTCTTCGTAGCCCAGGAACAATCCGGCGCAATCCTTCGGATCCCACTTGAGCCGTTTCTCCTTCGGAGTTAAGATGAAAGCTCGACAGCCGAAGACGCGCATGTGTTTCACACTCGGCGCGGACTTGTACACAATCTCGAACGGAGTCTTGCACTCGATCTTTAGTGACGGCAGGCGGTTCTTCACGTAGATGACCGTCATCGCCGCTTCACCCCAGAAACACTTGTCCAGCTTGGCATGATGCAGCATGCTGCGGCCGATCGTGACGATGGTGCAGATGGCCCGCTCTGCCGTGCCGTTAGTCTGGTGCGCGTACGGAACCGTGGTTTGTTGCTCGATGCCCTCGTCTTCGTAGAAATCTGTAAGCGAGTTAGTCGCAAACTCACGAGCTCCGTCGTGTCGCACGAACTTGACCTTCTTGCCAAACTGCTTCTGCACCTTCGTGATGTACGTCTTGATGCAGTCTTCGCTTTCTGATTTGGCACGCAGGCAGTGTGGTGAAGTGCTTTCTCAGAAATAAGAGAATGGTCCTGACGCGGGGTCACTATCCCGAATCAGTGACAATTTCAAGTGATTATAGAGGATTTGGGTTGTTTGGCACGGGTGCAAGTTGCCTGTGGTGGATTAGCCATGGCGAGCAGCACCCCGTATGGAATGACGATGGATCTGATATGAGCGATGTACGAGAAGGCAAGATCCACCAAGACTTACCTCGGATCCACCCTTACCTGGATTCACTAAGATGGATATGGGATATACTATACAAGAGTGGATCGAGTGCGGATCCTATGAAGGAAGGATGGTCGGTGCTCTCTGACGGTGGATCTAGTAGCCACGGCTAATGAAGAGTCAAGATCCACCGCGAGGTACCCCGGATCCCATACTTCCGAGTTCGTATCCAAGGAGGGAGGATCCCGCCTGGAGGGACCTGGATCCAGGGTATAGGGATGAGGGATACAGTGGATCTCGAACTTTCGTAGGACAACGGAGATCACAGACGGTTGCAAGATGATGTTGGATGATTGGAGAGTTCGGATCCACGGCGAGTGTACCATTACAGTGAGGTGGATCCAAGCGACCTAGATCCGGATGAGTGTACCCATAATAGGGTGACCATGATGATTACGTCATATATCCGGTGGATCTGAAGATAACACAGCTGGGATGATGGGTCAAGGGAAGAAGGGACATGCAGCCGAGCCTGGTAAGGGATTTAGCAGATGAAAGACATAGAAGGTAGAAACCCAGGCAGGTATAGGCTTAAATATCAATACAGACCTCAATTTGCACTGTGGAGGGCAAGTGACCTGTAGTCGTCTCGGGGGTTGGATTTGGCCTCGGGCGATCGCCGTAACAGGAGTGAACATTGGCCCTGGACAAGGACAGCGTCTACTTCGCCCGCCAAGCATCAGGTCTCACTATGGAGTAATCAAGATCACGAACTAGAGAACAAGTGGGCACGGAATCGTAACGGGATCATCAAGTGGAGATCAACTACGTATAGCGTTTCGACGGGGATTGGATTTGGCCTTGCAGAACATTCGTAGCGGAGATGAGCATTGGCCCGGACAAGTTTCGTGTATACTTTGACCCTAGGGACTAACTCAATAAATAAAGACCTCAATTTGCACAGTAACACGCAAGTGCCTTTCCGCCCTCAAGAACCGGAACTACATTGGCCGTACGAGCTCCGTGAAGGTTAGGAATTGCGAATCTAGTGTTGGTAGTGATAACTGGATAATACATTGGCCAGATCCTACAACCTAGTGAGCTTTTCCTATACACGTGCAGATCCGACAGGTTAACCGAATTTACTACTTGGTCGGTTATACCCTAGAGGTTCTCAACTCTCAAGATCCCGTCACAGGAGGCGGCAAGTACGACTTAAAGGACAACACCAAGGCAAGGGAACACACCCGCAAGGCAACCCTACGGCCGGATCCACGATCTAGGCCCCGGATCCATAAGCTCGAATATTCGCTTAGGATACGGAACCATCCACGGACGCAGAGTGAAGATTTTCCACTGCTGCTCCACCCCATCCCCACGTCTCGCCAAGACACTCAAGCTTCACCACTTGAACTCTTCGGAAGTTACCGAGAGAGCAGATCCCGCCCTACCGACGGGTACACAAGGTGAGGAAAGTTCAGCAGAACACGGATCATCGGGGGACCCCCTCCGTTAGTCGGTGTCTGGGCGCAGTTGGTAAGTTGGATCTGGCAATCTCGCAGATTTTGCTGATCCCGCTACACCACAATGGTGCGCGTGCCCGGATCTTTTGGTGACTCGGGATTTCACCGTGAGTCCCAAGAAGATGCTCAAGTGAAGATTGAGCCAGGGGAAGAGGCGTCGTCGGAGGTCGGATCGACGAAGACGCTGCTGAATGAAACAAGATCCGCGGATCGATGGAGTTTTGGGAGGAACTCTGTCGACGGAAGAGAGGTGGATCCGAATCCGGATCTAGAAGAGAAACCTCTCTATCCTCCCCAGGTCCCCTCGGGGACCCCTGCGGATCTTGACGTAAGTCAAGATCCGCTAACAAAACAAGGGAAAGTGAAGGCGAAACGGTATGCATTTGCAGATTCACCGATTAAGCCAACACCGTACCTAAACCCAAGCCCGCTAGTCGAAGAAACAAGAAAGAAGACGAAAACGAGTAAGACTACGCGGAAGAAGATGCAAGCTCCAGAGTCGGAAGAAGACCAAGCTGGATCCAGGTCAAGCTGGTCCGACAAGGATCTCGAGTTTGTGTATCGCCACCAAGCTTTACGCAACTTCCTGCATCAAGATCCTGTCATGCAGATCCTGAATCCACGACAGATCGAAGATCCAAGGGAACCGGTGAGAGCACCAACGAAAACGGCGAACAAGTTGGTGGCAGTCAAAGATCTATTACGTTTGCTTACGGAGTCAGGCATCGTAGCTGGTGTGTTCGACGCAGAGGATATCTTCGAGCTAGACCTGGATCTCATAGTATCCGCGACGCGGGACCTCTTTGCCAGAGTTAAGTCCATCACCGGAGAAAGGTCGCGCACTATGGATCCAGTGTCGTCGTCGAGGATCAGCCAAGCTGCGTCCTCAAACTACGAATCCGCCGCTGAGGATGAGTCAGACACGTCGTCCGAACCACGACGCATGACTTTAGGACCCTCCGGGGCATCCATGCTGGAAGCGCGGGCGAGGATCCGAGGACAGGAAGCCCCTGTGAACGTGAAAGCTCGGGATCCAGTACGCCCTACGCGTGATTTGACACAATCCAGCCAGGATCGAGCCAGATCCGGCAAGAAGCCAGTGGGATTATCGTCAGATCAGGCTCGAGGTAATC